GTCAGCCTTCCTGCTCCTCTGATGCTGCTTGGCCTGCTGTGTTCATCCAGCTCTACACCTTATTATCTCAGATTCTCCAGCATCTGCAGTTCCTGCTATCTCTGGTTCAATTCCTGTGTTGGTTAGGATCACCATGAAGGGCTCTCCTTCTCTACCTCTTCTGTCACCTGAGGTGTGGCGACCATCAAGTCAGACCACTACCATGGTCTCTCTGTAATGAGAGAGCAGCAACATATCAGTAATTTTGACCATTATAAATGTTTGGCTGAGTTCCAAAAAATGATATACTCAGTTCTATTGACACAGCTGTTCAGGGGAATGGCTGACAGCTTTATGAAGCTGTTATAACATAGTCCAACTTTGATTTGGTTTCAGAGCGCATGGTTGTTTGTTTATACAACTTTTTAAGGACCAATTGGCTTTTTCCTAATGAGAAGAGGTTTTTATTTGTAGCATCAATGTGAGTTTTAGGTTGGTATGTGAGGTTTTGTTTTCATTTGCATTTAATGCAATTTCTATTGATATTTCTGAAGGCTATACACTGTGGATACTGATGAATCCCCATGAATGCATGGAGGAGACTTGGTGGATCTGAGGTGGCATCAATGTGGCATTATTGGGTGGGGGAGTTAAGGGAGAGATGTAAGATTTTGGGACGTTTAACTCAAGCTGAAAACTGGGCTGCTGTGTTGGAAAATTGACATGGACCTTCTATCCAGCTACCTCTTCACCACACTTGATTGCAACTTACAAACTGCACTGCAATCCTAGATCCTGTGTGGAGAAACAAAAGTCCTAAAGACGGGAATGGGTCAGATGTGCTGTTTAGAACCTGCAAAAATGTGCAGGTCATGTTTTCCTAAATCCAAATGAAAATCTGGGTCTTTTATTTAAATAGTTGAAGAATGCATTAATCTGTGAAGATAATTTCTTACCAGTGCAGTTCTTCTCATCACTTCCATCCAAGCAATCATCTTCACCATCACAGCAAGAAAAATATGGAATACATATGTCTGATTTGCAGTGGTGAGAATTAGTGCAATCTGTTTTAACAATAGAAAAAGTATTAGAGACAATGATAGTCTGCATTTAATTTTTTTTAATGACTCAAAGCATTGCTAAATCGAGAACATCTGCAGAATGCTAGTCTCACTTTAACCTCCAGAGGTACCATCAAAAGAGAGAAACTCTTTGTCTCCTTTACTTACTTTTGCAGCATAACTCATCACTTAGGTCAGCACAGTCATCAATGCCATTGCAAAGATCCTCCAATGGAATACATTTCCCATTTACACAAGTAAATTCTTCATTGGTGCATTTCTTGTCTAACAAACAACAGAAGCAGTTTTAGTGAAGTCGAAAACTTAACTAAATACAGTAACTAGGTAATCCAATAGCAGTTCCCAGTTGTCAGACTGGACATTGGATGATGGCCATTACTTAGCACGAGACAATTTTTATATGAAACTGAATTTAGTACAGAACAGCATGTTGCTCTTCCCTCAGTCACAAACAAAGTAACTTTTGAAGAAGGCTGCCCGCTGCAATATCACATTGCCAGTGGTATAATTGAGCACAGAGATGGCCTTCTGCCCCTCTATAGGCTAGCAGCTCTAGCAGTCCCAGCAGCTTCAGAACTCAGTAGTGCTGCTGGGACTGTAAGGAGTCGCTTGAATGAAGAGGAAATGGCTACTTCTGATTGAATACTATTCTGATTTGTTTTTCATTTGGTGATGAGATGTAGGTATCACTGTCCCTGCCAACGTTTATTGCCCATGCCTAACTGTCCATTACAACAGCTGAGATGAAACCATGTTGTAATGCATGTAGAGTCACATGTAGGCCAAACCAGGTAAGAGTGACAGATTTCCTTTTTCAGAAAAGTTCTTCATAAACCAGATGAAATGAACAAACCTGGAAGGAGGTTTTGTCAGGATTGTGGGGGCATTAACCATTTTCCATGGAAGGTTTACACAGTGGATATTGCAACAGAGAGGACTGCATGTCAATGACAAATTAACTCACTGAGTTTCCCTTTAGAAAGGCAAGCACCAATCTACATTCAATTGTGTTGCCTATAGACAAGCAAGATGACAATTCACACACAAACCTGCAGACTTACACTACCCACATAGCACCCTTCCCCGAGCCCATATCACTGATGAATGAAGCCCACTGTAGTAAAATAAAATAAAAACCTGGAGGATAATCATAACATTTAACCGCAGCAATCTTTTCTTTCCTGCATTTCTTCTGTAGCTTTTCAATATCTGTGAGGCGGAAACACTCTGACAGGCTCATCTCAAACCCTCTGCAGCGCATCCTGTTCGACCAGTTCATAAAATTGGTAATCTTCAGCCAAATTGTAAATTCTGTTTGTGTTAAAATTTTCTCTGCTCCTCTGGCCAAAGAAAAAAGCTTGGTCAGCAGCAGAAAAGACACCTTTAAGAGACAAAATACTCATTACACGCATTATTTCAATCATTTTCAAATGCAGAAAATTTAAGCTAAATTCTTACAATTGAAAGTTGAGCTGTCTGCAGAATACATTTGCCTCATGCATTGTCCAACTCTTCTGATTCATGCATATAGACAATTCTTGTAAAGTCTGATTGAAACTGAACAAAACAATTCCTTGTGACTTACGATCAGGTTGCCAAGAAACAGCAGCATGTCCTAAAATTTAAAAACAAAGAGAGCTCATTATGTGTGTTTACAAATACAGTTACATACCCAGATACAAACTAAACCATAACTGAGAGAACAAGGTGTACAGCTGGATGAACACAGCAGGCCAAGCAGCATCAGAGGAGCAGGAAGGCTGACATTTCGGGCCTAGACACTTCTTCAGAAATGGGGGAGGGGAAGGGGGTTCTGAAATAAATAGGGAGAGGGGGGAGGCAGATAGAAGGTGGATAGAGGAGAAGATAGGTGGAGAGGAGACAGACAAGTCAAAGAGGCGGGGATGGAGCTAGTAAAGGTGAGTGTAGGTGTGGAGGTAGGGAGGAGATAGGTCAGTCCAGGGAGGACGGACAGGTCGAGGGGGTGGGATGAGGTTAGGAGGTAGGAGATGGGGGTGGGGCTTGAGGTGGGAGGAGGGGATAGGTGGGAGGAAGGACAGGTTAGGGAGGCAGGGACGAGCTGGGCTGGTTTTGGGATGTGGTAGGGGGAAGGGAGATTTTGAAGCTTGTGAAGTCCACATTGATACCATTGGGCTGCAGGGTTCCCATGTGGAATATGAGTTGCTGTTCCTGCAACCTTCGGATAGCATCGTTGTGGCACTGTAGGAGGCCTAGGATGGACATGTCGTCTGAGGAATGGGAGGGGGAGTTGAAATGGTTCGCGACTGGGAGGTGCAGTTGTTTAGTGCGAACCAAGCGTAGGTGTTCTGCAAAGCGGTCCCCGAGCCTCTGCTTGGTTACCCCGAAGTAGAGGAGGCCACAACGGGAACAGCGGATACAGTATACCACATTAGCAGATGTGCAGGTGAACATCTGCTTGATGTGGCAAGTCTTCTTAGGGCCTGGGATGGGGGTGACGGGGGAGGTGTAGGGGCAGGTGTAGCACTTCCTGCGGTTGCAGGGAAAAGTGCCGGGTGTGGTGGGGCTGGAGGGGAGTGTGGAGTGGACAAGG